CTAAACCCCAAGCCCAGGAACCCTAATCCCTAAACCCCTAGCCCAGGAACCCTAAACCCTAAACCCCTAAAGCCCAGGAACCCTAAGCCCTAAACCCTAAACCCCTAAACCCCTAAACCCTAAACCCCTAAACCCCTAAATCCCTAAACCCCAAGCCCAGGAACCATCTCCCTCCATTGCAAGCGGCCCACGACTTGGGTCATGAGCCTGGGCTCTTTTTGAGGAGGTTTCTGAACGGAGTTAAATGACGCCGTCGGTTTTTGGGACTTAGGGTTTCGAGTTTAGGGTTAACTTGTGACAAGGATGAGTGCAAGCTTGAATCACCCTAAATCCCTAAATCCGCAAACCCTAAAATCGAAATCCTTAAGCCCGGAACCCCTACAAAAGGCGATGACGTCCTGCCCACACAGGGACGGGGGAGGAATGTTGACATGCCTTGGCGGATCTATCGTGTACCTCGGCCTTTGGGGACTTCTGTCTTTAGTAGGGTTTAGTGCTTTAGGGTTTAGTTTTTAGGGTGTTTTGGGCTTTGTAGGTTTAGGGCTTTAGGGGTTGAAGGTTTCAGGTTTTCTTGCCTGAATCATTGGGTTGGTTAGACTTGGTGTTACATGGCTTTTAACTATACAACTTGATGCGATTTGCACATAGCTTTATACCTTATTAAGGGGGTCTTAGGGCTTCTAGCTTGTTTGGGGATGGGGCAGCGGGCTTTTTGGGTAAACATTGGAAGGGTCTTGAGGTTTTCGGACTAGAATTAAAGGGGTAGGGTTTCAAGGTTTTTTGGGCCAGGTTCGTAGTGGGTTTAGGGCCTTTAGGGCTTGCTTACTGGCATGTTGGAGAACTTATGCGGGGCCACATGTCTTGGGAATCCGAAAGCGAACAGATGGATGTCTTTCTAATTAGAACACGGTTTTCGAACATGTTAAACCCTAAACCCTACACCGAGGGGAGACAGTTACACACTATTCCGACCATGACAAGTTTGCAGAGCCTCCCAGACAAGCCCAGGAACCACATCCCCCCCTTGAAGGCGGTCCACGACTTGGGTCAGGAGCCTGAGCTCTTTTTGAGGAACTTCTTCGGAGTTTTAGACGCGTCTTGTAGGGACGATAACGTTTGACAAGGGTTTTTGGCGTTTAAGCTTCGTGCAAGCTTGAATCACCCTAAAGCCCTACATCCGAAAACCCTAAACCCGAAATCCTCAAGCCCGGAACCCCTACAAAAGGCGATCACGTCCTGCCCACATAGGGACGGGCTTTCAATGGTGACATGCCTTGGCGGATCTATCGTGTATCTCGGCCTTTCGGGATTTACAGCTTTAGTAGGGCTTGGTGCTTAGGGGGGGTTTGGACTTTGTAGGTTTAGGGCTTTAGGGGTTGAAGGTTTCAGGTTTTCTTGCCGGAATCATTGGGTTGGTTAGACTTGGTGTTACATGGCTTTTAACTATACAACTTGATGCGATTTTCACATAGCTTTATACCTCATTAAGGGGTTTTAAGGCTTCTAGCTTGTTTGGGGATGGGGCAGCGGGCTTTTTGGGTAAACATTGGAAGGGTTTTGAGGTTTTCGGATTAGAATTAAAGGGGTAGGGTTTCAAGGTTTTTTGGGCCAGGTTCGTAGTGGGTTTAGGGCCTTTAGGGCTTGCTTACTGGCATGTTGGAGAACTTATGGGGGGCCACATGTCTTGGGAATCCGAAAGCGTTTGGAATCTGCAAAGTCTTACGCAGGAACAGATGGATGTCTTTCTAATTAGAACACGGTTTTCGAACATGTCAAACCCTAAACCCTACACCGAGGGGAGACAGTTACACACTATTCCGAACATGACAAGTTTGCAGAGCCTCCCAGACAAGCCCAGGCACCACATCCCTCCGTTGAAGGCGGCCCACGACATGGCTCATGAGCCTGGGCTCTTTTTGAGGAAGTTCGGACGGTTTCGGGTTTAAGGGTTTAGGGCTTAGGGTAAGTTCGTAGGAGGTTTATATTGGTCTTGTAGGGGCCATAAGGCTTAACAAGGGTTTTGGGGGGGTCAGCTCAGTGCAAGTTACCCTCTCAAGACAAGTTCGTGGAGCTGGTTCAAAACTATGCAAGCCCCGTGAAATTGTCTAAACCCCCATGTAAAAAAAAACAGTGTAACACCCGCTACACCCAAAAAAGATTTGATGCTGCTCTTGAGCACCACAAAGGGCGATGACGTCCTGAGCAGATAGGTCGGGAGGAGGACTGGTGACATACCGCAAGTTCTAAAACCCTAAACCCAAGACGGTTTAGGTTTTAGGGTTTAGGGGTTTAGGGTTGTTCCGAAGCCCCTTATCACCCAGGACCTCGTTCACTGCACTCAAAAGTCCTCAGATGGGCTGGTGACATGCCTGGGCAACAAGATCATCAATCTCGTGCCACCCCTGAGCTACTTGGAGCTGCCGACGAGTCCGCGTGTTTAGGTGTATAGGGTCTTTTCCTAGAGGAGTCATGATGCAGAGTGAAGATGTGCATGTGTACCGATGCTTCCCACCCGAACAAAAAGGGGCGGCTTCGCACTACACAGCCTGGACCCTAGCAGGTCTGGGTAAGCACATCAACAACATCGTAAGGCTACCTCAACCCTATAACAGCCTGCAGCACTGAACCCTAGAACCCTAACGCCCCAAACCCTAAACCAAACCCCCCAAAGCTCTGCAAAAAAGCCGCCTCAAATGAGGCTACTTCAACAAGATGAACGACGTCCTCGCCGACTTCCTCGAGGGATTTGCCCGGGTTGCCGCCACGATTGCGGGGCAGGTTGGAGTGTCCGAAAACAGGGTTTTTAGGGGTTTCGGGCCCCTATATTCGGGTTTTGGGCTTGATACCTAGACCCTCCATCTACCCTCCAAGCAGACCCTAAATACCCTTAATTTGGGACCATAGACCCCTGTTTGAAGGTAGGGTTCAGGGTTTCGGGCCAGTTTAGGGGTTTAGGGTCCTGGGGGGGGGGGGCGGGGGTAATATGGAACCCTAAGACTGAGCAAGCTAAATTTTTTGTAGAACCCCCAACTCTAAACCCTGAACCCGCAAAAAAACCCAAACTCACCAACCCTGAACCCACGAACCCCTTAAACCCTAAGCCTAGAAGGCACAAGCCATAAACTCCACAAGCCCTAAGCCCTGCGTAATTTCTGAAGACTCGCAGGTCCTCAAAGGCGGGAGCTCCTTCATTCAGGCCGCTTGCCTCGGCTTCCCTAAAGGGTTCTCAGGGAATTTTTAGGGTTTTGGGTTTAGGTTTTAGGGTTTGGCGGGTTTGGCGTGTGAAGTGATTCGTTAAGGGTCTCCAGCGTTTTTTTTTGTGGGTGTTCAAGGTCGCGCTAATCCTGGGCCCCGATCCCTGCAATGCCCCAGACACTACCCCCTGAGGCCCTACTATAGGGCCCCCAAAACAGGATCCCTTCTTGAAGTCCGTTGTTAAGTTGCTGTCCGTAGTTTCCACAGAGATGGACCTTTTCAATCCACCTCGCAAGTTCCTGAACCCTTCACTCACTTCTGAATCCCCAAACCCCATAATTTATTGACACCCCTACCGTCCTAAATTGAACCCCAGAACCCCTGTCAGATTCGAACCTGGGACCCCTACACCTTGAATCCGAAATCAGGAGGCTGTCAAAACAAGATTCCCAGCAGCTGGCGCCCCGGCTTTGGTGCATCATCAAGGACTTAGGACTTAAGGAGTTAGGGTTTAAAGTTTAGGGTCTAGGGTTCAGGGTTTCGCATCTAGGGGTTTAGGGCTTCTTCGATAATTTAAACAAGCCCCTTTTCTTCAAGGGCCCGAAAATACGGATTCCTGTTCCAGTCCCTGTCGAAGGAGAAGGTTTGTTTTTTTTTAAATCAGGGGTTTAGATTACAGTCATTAGAGTAGAGGCCCCCAGTGGAGCTCGACTGCAGTGACAACGCCTGGCTAATGACCTCTCTGCCGAAGAAAGGCAGCAAAGACGGACCCTAGAGAGGAGGTTCTGGGGCCCCAGGCTGGCAGATTTTCTGGAAAGGCTCAGCCTCCAGGGCCTCCCAAGGCCGAGGCCCTCTCGCTTCGAGCGACCCTCACAGGATGTGAGGGGCGGACTGTTTGGTTGGGAATCGTCGAGAGGCCGGCACGGCCGCGACCCACAACCCGACACCAATGCATCTCAGCTGTGGCATGTAGGAAAGTTCTCCTTGAGGGGGGTTTGGGGGTGAGCACTAAACTCTAATTAAGCATAATTGGGGTTGTTATGCTGACGCAAGCGTGCGACAATTGGGTGGGAATCTGGAATGATGTTGTTTGGGTGTTGCTGTTCTGTTCATGGTTGTCACTGCATGCAAGGTAATTAAAGGGCCTGGGTACTTAGTATTGCTATTCCGAAGAGTCCCCCTACCATCATTGGGATATTCCAAGGCCTGAGCCCGAACCCTCAAGCCCCAGCCAAAAACCCCAAAGCCGTGTAAAACCCCGTGTAGGGGCCGCACAAGCACCTCGATCACTGTGGAAAAAAACAAAACTCTACCCTGACTAAACGGCAGGTCATGACCCATACTTACCGGAATACTTACAAGCCTCAGAGAACCCCCCAAACCCACCCTAAACCCTCAACCAATCCGCAGGACAGAACTTGGTGGTCACGACGCATACCCAGACGCGTCGCGCTCCCATGTCGGCGCTGCAGATGGCAGGTGACGATGATCCGCCGAAGGCCCGGCTTGGCTATAAGGCTGTTGGTTAATATAGGGCCTAAATAATTACCTGCATTGTGTGTGTGTGTGTGTTTTTTTTTGCGGGGGGTCCTTCGGGCCATTACATCATTAGCTTTTTGCTGTTTTGGGTTATGGTTTCCTTCATTGGCAGGGATCTTCAGAAAATGGTTTTGCCGTGATTCTCAAGGGGAGTAAAAGGAAATGTTGAGGTTTTCGGGCTCCTTTTTCTGCAGCATCGTTGCGCACTCGACGCGCTGTCTTCTAATCACCTTGCTAACCTTGCGACCAACCCACCTGTCCTCAACCCAAGACCCTGACATCTCTCAATCGCCACGCCAAGCCAAGATGAACCCTTGAAGCAGGCCGTACCCTAAGGGTTGAAGGTGCAATGTAGACCGCTTCGCACCAGCCTTCCCTCATATAGTGATTATTTATCGTGGTTGGAATAGGTGTTCGAGGAGTCTACATCAGTGCGTTGCTCCTAAATCCGAGACATACCGAAACCGTGGTGTCAAAGATCCCGCATGCCTCCCCTGAAGGACGGCATCACCTTCGAGCGCCTGGCTACAGTTGAGCCCTAAACCCAAAAGCCCTCTCGGAGGCCCGAAACCATCCTAAACCCTAAAAGCTCTAAACCTTGAAGCCCTAAATTCTAACACCCCAATTACAGGTTTCGCCCAGCCTGAAGCGTTTGGGCCTGCGCTGTTGGGGGGGGGGGGGGGCT